ATCTTAGACACAAAACAAGAGCTTGGAATAAATTTTCTAGATCTAGTGGTTACCCTTTTATTTGGATCACCTATGATGAGATCCATAGTGTCGGGACTCGAAAAATGCATCGTACAACGACGGGGAGGCGAAAAGAAAGGACAGAAGAGTCGCCACCGAACTTTATTTATCCCGTGAGGGGAAAGGAAAATATCGAGTAAACCTTAAGAAAAGAATGGATAAGATGGTCTCACAACCAAGAGCGGGTTCGGAAGCCGGTTATGCGAGGAGAAGGTATTAGCACCCCTCGCATCCATCGTACTCGATGGGAACCTTTTGTTTGTCGATGTGTGAATTTATTTGCTTAAACATTATGCTATAAGAAGTGTTCCACGGGGTAAAAGAAGGGTTATAAACAAGAAAATTAGGAGGAAAGAGAGAACGGGGAAGAAAAGAGAAAGAACAGACTCGGTAGGACTTCGCGGTCCTAGGCCTACGTATTCTCAATGGATGTGAGAAAGTCAGAGTCGACGTAGTTCGGGGAACTATAGATATGGGGGGAATGTGCTCGCCAAGACATCGCCGTCTTGTGCCTACGTATTCTCATCTGGTATGAGAAATCAGAGCAGCCGTAGTTCGGCCAACTACGGGTGAAAGGTGAAAAAGGGAGCTCGCCAAAACATCGCCGTCTTGTGCCTACGTATTCTCATCTGACATGAGAAACCAGAGCAAACTTAGTTCGTGCTAACTGTGTGTTGATGTTTTTTACGGATGATGCTATCGTGCGCATTCTAGCAGTTAGGTGTTTTGCTGCTCGCTCGTTGGAGACTTATGCATTACCTGTTTGCGGTAGAACGGACGTAACATATCCTTTTTTGAAAGATTGATTAGTTTTCGCCATGCGGGGCAAGAAGTCACGTTTGATTGATTGGATTGTTTTTAGAGGGAGAGACATGTCCTCGGATAGTAACCCCTACGGGTAGTACCCAATTCTTTGTCTCAAAGTTTTTGTTATAAAAGGGTGTGGTGAACGAGGCGTCTTCGTATTGAAAGACGAGCGTCGAAAACCACCCTCACTACAGTGGGCATCCCAGCGCTCGGAGAAGAAGAGGTCTACACCCAATCCTCTCTCTTTAATTCAATGCAAAGAGAACTTCGTTCTCTTATTAAAGATGTTTTTGGTTTTGAATGGTAAGTGCTTTGCGATAGAGAACCCTACGGTAAACGTCAACACTCGGGATAGGAGAAGGCCTACGCCTAACCACTCCACGACCATTCAAGTTTTTGTTGTAAAAATAATTGAAAATGCACTCGGTGCGGGACCGAGGTTTTTAGGTGACAAGGGTCGCGGGATGAAATTGTGAAAGTGAGATGGTGGATAAAGGCGTGTCTTCGTATCGAAATACGAGTGTCGAGACCACCCTCACTACAGTGGGCATCCCATCACTCGGAGAAGAAGAGGTCTACACCCAATCTTCTCTCTTTAATTCGATACAAAGAGAAATCAATTTGTTATGGTTTGAAAATGGACTCGGTACGAGACCGAGGTTTTAAGAGAGATGGTATGGAAACGTCTTCGTATTGAAAGACAAGCGTCGAAACCACCCTCACTGCAGTGGGCATCTCGACACTCGGAGAGGAAGAAAGTCTACACTTAATCCCCTCGTTTAATTCAATACAAAGAATATGATTTAAAAGATGGTTTGACAATGTTTTTGAATCGAGTCGGGACAAGAAGCGAGGAGAGAAAAGAGGTGGTCTCAGATCCAACATTATTCATCAATAATTTGACTGGTAATGGATTACGGAGGTCTCGTCATCGACCCAAAACAAATGAAAATGGGACAAAATGCTCAATAATAAATGAAGAATAAAATCAACTCTAAAAATAAAATAAATATTCTAAACTCTAAAACTTCCAAAAGAGAATATAATATATAATTCTAAAAGAAACTAAAAAAATAAAAATAATAATATATATATATACATAATAATAATGATAATATATATAAAAAGTTTTAAAAGAAAAGTTAATAAAAACTCTAAATAAAATAGCTAGAAAATATATTTACCAATTAAAAGTTTTTTTAGAAAAAAAATATTTTTATTAACTAAATAAACTAATACTTAAGAACTGCTTTAATAATCATTTTAAAAATATAAAGAAAACTAACAAAAATTATTTACAACTTTCTTTTGAGAAAAAACGAAACAGGGGTGTGTTATCCAAATTGAGATGGTGGATATTAATCAATAACAGATCAAACTCCATAGAAACCAAATCAGAGCGAAGAGACGTACCATTTTGCTTCCAATCTCGCGTGATCTCAGTTCCTTCTATCTCACTCTCCTCTCGATCTCGCGACATCATCTTTGCAGCTCTTGTTCGTGCGACTCCACGGCGGCGGAAGGGTTTCGAAACTGGGTTTATGAAAAGAAAATGGAGGAAAGTTTTGGTGTGTTCGGTTAGAAGAAGGTTGTACAGGTGGTACGATGAAGATGGTTGACTGTATGGGTAGTCTGGGGTTTCGTTAATGGATTTCGAATGGAGGTGAGGGTGATGGCGCATAGGTGTTGTTGGTGTGTTGAAGAGGGCTTCAAAGTATGGGTTGGATTGAAGTGTATATGTGCACACCAACTGTTTGTGAAAAGGTTTTGAAGTTGTTGTTGAAGAGCAGGTTTTGTTGTGGTGAATTTCGAATGTTTGAAGAGCGATGCCGGCTGGAGATGATTGAGTTCATATGGTTGAAAGTTTAGGGTATCGAAGATTGAATGGTTCTCCTTGGATGTTGAAGAGAAGTAACTGAGGAAAACTTAACGGTGGAGTTTGGAGTTAAAGATGGTAATGGTTGTTGGTTCTTGGTCAGAGATGTTGTTCATTGCAGATTTCATGTTGCTGAAGAACAAGGTGAGCTTAAGGAATTTTCGGTTTGAAGGTTCCTTCTGAGATTTTCACATTGGTGTTCTTTACTCTATTTTATTTGAAGAGAGGAGGTTGGTTAAATGGAGATAGGATTAAGGACTGGGTTGTTGCTTCAGTGAGGGCTTTACGGTCTGTTGAAGAGTGGTATTGAAGGTTGATTTTAAAGGAAAAACGGTAATGGCGGAAGGGGACTTGGGATTAAAATGTTAAGATGAAATTGGTTGAAGAATAGAGACTGCAGTGAGGTTTATTGTTGATTTGCGAAGAAGATGAACAGGGTCTGTTTGGCGTTGTTAGTGGTGAAGGACTGTGAAATTTATTGAAGATAAAGCTCAGGTTGTGGATTTATTCAAGGTGAGGTTGTGGTGTTGTGAAATTGGTTTGTGATTCTGTTGTTCGGAGTTTTAACGGGCTTCGTTGCTGATTGCGATGGCTTCGATGACGTTGAGGGAACTATCGGAAACATCGATGTCTGTCGAACATGAAGTTACCATGTCGAAGCTACTTGTATTGGTGTCAATGAAGGTTGAGAAACGACTTTGTGTTTTGTTTAAGGGCAGGTTTTGCTTCTGTTACGCTGCAGGGGTTCTGGTGTAAGTGTTGCAGCAGAGTTTTTGTGTTATCTGAAGCAACAATGTTTCAAAGGTTTTATGTTATTGTGATGGTGGTTGCAGATGGTTTCAGTGAGAGTGTGAGCGACTTTGAAGGTGACATAAAGGTTTGATGAAGATGATAATGGCGGAGAAGCTCAACGAAGGAAAACGGTGGTGATGGTGCGTGTGGTTTGTTGGAGAAGGTATGTTTGAAGGTTGGCAATTAAATGGTTTCCGGTGTTCGTCAGAGCTGAGTTTGAATGGCCTTTGATGGATTTGTTTGAAGCAGAGGTCGAATGTGGTTCTGCTACAGCTTGAAGAGCTCTTCGCGGCTGTTGGTTGTCATTTTCCATTACCGGTGGTGTCGTTGTGTTGCTGTCAAAAGAGTTGTGTTGCTATTGAACCCGCCGAAGATTATTGTTGCCGAAGTTTGTGGTGAGCTAAGATTTTGTTCATGTTTCAAATTTGAACCACTGAAACTGAGTTTTTGTTATGAAGATGGGGAACTGAGTTATTGTGATCATTACTTGCGGCAGAGTTCGGCGAAGGTTTCGAAGAAAGGTGCCGAAGGGGTGAGTTCTTGAAACACAGTTTGTTAAAGGTTAGTGATTGAAGGTGAGATATGGGCAGTTTTGAGTAGTTGTATGCTAGTGTTAAAACATGTTGAAGTTATATGAGGAAGAAAATTCTGGAAGAAATTTGAAGAAGGTTAGTCATTTTATGGGTTTTTTTTTTGTGTATATCCCTCCAGGCTTTGTTGTGTGTGTGTTTGTTTTATGGTGCGATTTGGACAAGTTTCTCATGGTTTGCTGTTGGCAGAAAGGTTGTCTGGCATGGAGGTTTATTGCAGCAGGCTGGTATGTAGCAGGTCTTGTACAGGCTAGCAGGTTTTGTCTGGTGTGGAGAGTATTTGTGCAGAGACAGCAGAATGGTTTGTTGGTCTGCTATGTATGTTGTCCTTTTTTCATTTTTATTTTCTTCGCAGCTTGGTGTAATGATGCAATTTTCCTGGTTTTATTAACAATGCCATGTGCCGAGCCTAACAAATCATATGCAACATCGCTTAAAGTACGGGCAATGCAGCTTCTAATTAGCAACTGGCCATTGAAGATAAGTGGATTCTTCACAGAGAGTAGAGGTCTGAGATTCTCAATGGTGACTTCAGAAAGTGGCTGATTACAAGTGATAGTAAATAACCTTCCCCCCAAATTCCAATCAGAAGTGCAGACAGATACAGCATGGCTGAGAGCAGAGTCAGAATCAGGGTATGGTTCCATCACAACATTGAGAATTCTCCTCTGCAACTTCTAATCACTATCAACAAAATGTCTTGTGAATTCATCAAAATACTTCATAAGGTTTTGCTTTTCTGCCAGGTAAGTTGCCACGCAGTCTCCTTGAATAGTATTAAAGGTCACCATGTTGAACTGAGGTTGCAGATTTTGAACAAGTGCAACCAATCCTAATGCAAGGTGTGGATGTACAGATTTTTTTCATTTGATCTTTCACCGAATTCTACATGATTCGATGACCTCGCTAACAGTTTTATGAGTCTCTGGTGAAATTATGTCCAAGGACAGATGAAATTCCACAAATCTGTCTAACACAGGTACAAGACTGGCCAAGTTGTGATCTGGAAGATTGTCAGCAATTGATTCGCGGATGCTCTTGCTTTCAGTGGAAAGAAATGCTAGAAGCAACGCGGAGTAAGCTTCGACAATCATTTTCTCAGCTTCTTTTTCACCTTGTAGTACAGCCGCCTCATCATTCAGTTCAAATTTTTTTCTTCCCCACCTGCCACCTCACTTTCACCCTGGTTAGCCAAAAAATAGAGCATAATAATTGAATAACATCCCGCCGAACCTCCTGGTCCAAGCCTTTTGAAGAAGGTAGTAAAACACTGGCTGCTGCAAGCCGTGATCTGTTTTGACTGTCCTTCTCAACCAGATTTACAAGCAAACCCAGAATAGCAACAAGAAAATCCAACTCGTGATCATTTAGAAGCATATCACATAGATGGTCCTTTTCAGTTCTCAAAGAGTTGTCTTTTATTTGAGCAAAGGACTGAGATGAGCTAAAAGAAGGGAAATGACCAGCAATTAACATAGGCATGGCCTCTAGTCCTCCATTGGCAGCAATTAGTTGACAGCCAATAGGGTTGTCATTAGTCAAATTCATCAGCACCTTAACAGCAGTAAGGAGGCAATCACTTAGAAGGCTAGAATCTTCTTCATAACTGATGTCAGAACTGGAACAATTGATGTTCCTATCACTTGATTCTTGTTGACTCATTTTGGTTTGCAATTGAAGTTCTTCTTCATGACTCACTTTGGTTTGCGATTGATGTTCATTTTCCTCACCCAATTTGGTTTGTGATTGATGCTCATTTTCTGGACTCATTTTGATGTTTTGTTCTATTTTTCTGTTGCAGGATGTGGAATGGCTCGGGAGATTCACTACATGGCCAAGGCATGTGTAGCATGAGAACATGTGGTGGTAGTGTACTGGCTCGGTGGTGTGGATTGATTAATTTTCGGTATTTACAGCTAAAAACGACTTGTGGAAGGACAGGCTACAGTTTGTGGGTCATGAATTGATATAGTAGCTTGAGGCCGAAGTGGCTCAAAGTTTGTTTGGCATGAAGCTTAGTAGCTGAACTTTTCATACATATATTTTTTTGTGTATTTTGTAATTTGTATAGACCTTAGGTTTGTGCAAAGACATTAATCAAAAAGAGATAATGGGCCTATTGTAGAAATGGCTTTTTTTTTATTTTGTAGTACTTTTTGTACATTTTTGTGAATTATGGTGGGCTTCAAGAATTTCAAAATGGGCTTGAACAAAAAGAAAAGAAAAAAAAAAGACACATGGGCTTTGATTTCTCTTTGGCAGCAAATCTTGAATCGGACTAAAATTGGCTTAATCTGAAAATGAATATTGAATAATAACGTGCTTGACTTGAACCAATAACAAACCCTTTATTGTCGGGACCTTGACTTTGCTCTCTAAGAAACGGATCCCAAAAATGAATCGATTTTACACATACAGCCATTTGGAGCAATGATAAACCAATCCCTCACTATGAAACAAATAAGCAGTAAATGGCCGCACTATAACTGCACCACAAAACCCTGATTGAAATTCCCAGATCTCACATGATTCTTCATCGTGAACTTAACACAACCTGATATATGGGTTCACATGTAGCTGTTTTGACTTGACACATAAACCATAACTGCAACCTCAAATAAGCACCTTTGAATTGATACACCTTGACTTGACAAACCACTAATGAACCTCCATCCAACTTAGCAACAACATGATTTTGGTCAGCAAGGAGAAATGAAAGAAACAACATATTTTTTTATTTTTCTGCCCCTGACAATCACATATGCTTATCTGTTTGTCTTTAAGGACCTTGACTTGTCTCTGATAAGGGTGACCACTTGGTGACTTGAATATAACCCCCTTGATTAGGTTAAAAACCATTGGTAATTTTGTTAGACACACATTTCTTGATCCCCTGTGAAATGCAAAATGCTATGCAATGCAATGCTTACGTATGTGCTGATGCAATGAAATGAAACATAAACCAGAGAGGTCGGTCAAATTTTGGGGTACAACAGCTGCCCCTATTCAAACGGCTTGGGCCTGAAGGGATGAAAGGTAAGCGACTTTCATACAATCAAGGTAAAAGACGGTTGAATACCCAAGGACCCGGAAATTTGACAACCGCGAAACGAACTTCTGACATCGCCGCCAGGCACCCATATTAAGTAGAACGTCTGACCTTGCCGTCAGCTCTCAGCGTCAAAATTATAAATCCACTGACTTTATCGTCGGTCCTCAATATTTTCTGACTTCTCCGTCAAAATTTTTTTCACAGAACATTGGTAAAGCCCCTGACTTCGCCGTCAGCTCTTCAAAATAATCTTCTGACCTCGCCGTCATTTCCAACAGTTTTGACTTCGCCGTCAATTCTTAAAATAATCGGTAAAAGCATCTGACCTCATGGTCAGGCCTCGACATTAAGTCGGTAAAAAGACCTAACCTCGCCGTCAGTCCTCTGTTAAATACAAACAGATATTAAATCCAAAGATACGATCCTCCGACATCGCCGTCAAGACAAAATCCCACTTCGCTGTTGGACAAACAAATCACTCCGACATCGCCGCCGAAAATAAACATCCAATCTCGCCGCTGAACAAAAAAAACACTCTGACGTCGCCGCCAGAAACAAACTTCTCAACATCGCCGTTGAAGAATCAAATCACTTGACATCGCCGTCAAAACTAAATCATCTGACATCGCCGTCAAAAACCAAATCATCTGACATCGCCGTCAGAAACAAACATCCAACCTCGCCGTTGAAAAACTGAATCACTTGACATCGCCGTCAAAACAAACTTTTCAACATCGCCGTTGAACAAACAAATCCTTTTGACATCGCCGTCAGAAATAGACTTTCAACATCGCCGTTGAATAAACAAATTACTCCGACACCGCCGCCGGAAACAAACATCCAACCTCGCCGCTGAACAAACAAATCACTCTGACATCGCCGCCAGAAACAAACATCCAACCTCGCCGCTGAATAAACAAATTATTCCGACATCGCCGCCAGAAACAAACATCCAACCTCGCCGCTGAATAAACAAATTATTCCGACATCGCCGCCAGAAACAAACATCCAACCTCGCCGCTGAATAAACAAATTATTCCGACATCGCCGCCAGAAACAAACATCCAACCTCGTCGCTGAATAAACAAATTACTCTGACATCGCCGTCAGAATAAACTTTCAACATCGTCGCTGAAGAATTAAATCATCTGACATCGCCGTCAAAACAAACTTCTGAACATCGCCGTTGAAGAATTAAATCATCTGACATCGCCGTCAAAACAAACTTCTCAACATCGCCGTTGAAGAATTAAACCACTTGACATTGCCGCCAAGGCTTCGCTGAATATATGAGTAACAAAATTCAAACGAATTTAAGACCATCCATTGGTGACGACCACAAAATAATTCTGTTGGGGAAACAGCACGAGCTGGGGTCTAGCCAACACACGGGCGAAGATACTAGTCATTTGCGGGACTCACTTGAAACAAAAGGGTAACGACTCAGCTTATGTTTCACATGCATATGTTTGGATATGACGAAATGCTCCATACGAAATGGGAATGCTTCGCGTTCGGGTAGATGCTATGCATGTATGTAGATGCAAATGAACCACTTTAGCAAAATAAATGCTAAAGAGAAAGAGCCAACTCCGTTGAGTCAGAGCTAGATACGCTTAGCGCAAACAAACTCGTGCCGAGGAATACAAGCCCTGGATGGCCTCCGAGAAAAACTTCTGGGTAAAAACTGCTCTGCTAAGATCAAAACTACTCCGCTGGGGATCCTAATCAAACTCTGCTGCGGAGAACGTCCCGGATGGCCTATCAGCCTACAACTCTTCTGGGGATCAAGCAACTTGGCTGGAGGCAACAACTCCATTCTACCAGGGAAATCAGCTATGAATGATTAGCCAGAATAACTCTACTGGGGAAACACAGCTGAGCGCTGTGAAATAACTCTCTTCTGCCGGAGATTGAATCCGCTATCTGCTAGGGATGTTGAATAAGATTTACCGGGAGGATTATCCCACACTCTCTCTGCTGGGGATGGAGATGAACGATCTTTCAGCCAGTTCCATTCTGTGGGGAAGAAAATTAACTTTGCTAACTTGGCTGGGGATTAGAGAAGGAGGGAATCAACATCAATCTCTGCTTGGGGAAAATGAGAAGTAAACTTCGATAATACTTCTGTTTGAGGAATGAGTCAATGACCTAGACTCTGAGGGGAAAGAAGTCAACCATTTAGACTCTGTGGGGATAACAGTACTGCACTCGCCCTACTGCTGGGGAAATAAACCCAAATCTGCTTCTATAATTCTGATAAGCTCTGAAGATATGGAGAGGAACACATCTCCTTTGTTTCCAATTTTGCCCCAGCCTGTGGGACTTTTGTAAAAACCTTCCTCGAAAGGAAACCTGAAATTTCGGTACCCTGATGGTTAGATATGAACTGCCTCAGTGCTTCGAACCCCGAAGAAGTGCTTCAAGTTAATTTCCTCCTGGATAAAGATAGCCTTTGTGCTCTTGGGGTGACCTGCCCTAGCCTTAAAGTGATTTTGCCCCTGATTGGCTGAATTGGAGAAGTGCCTTTGACTTCGAGAGATTTACCTAATCTCGACCTGATTGCCCCAGATTAACGGACCTTAGGGAATGGCGCCTTCGACTGGCCTTCGAGTGGTTTGATGAATCTCAACCTGATTGCCCCAGATTAACGGCATCTAGGAATGCCTGACTCTGCTTACGTTTACCTGACGTGACTTGCCCCTGCTCAAAGGAGTACTCGGACGTTCTATATCTTATTCCTATCAAACTTTGCATTGTAGAAACTTTCCTGATGTCAAATGCTTTCTCGCAAGTAAAACAAATTGTTTTGCAAAAGATAATATTAATGCAATGCATATGACATTTTTTGAAATCCAAGTCTGGTCACTGGAAAAAAGTTGTGATGTATAGTGAACGAATCACTTATCAGAAATATCAATATCCATACCCATAGGGTAAGAAAAATCCTTTTAGCAATCAGTTTTGACGCGATCTTTACCGAAGTATGCTTTCGAAACAAAGTTGCTTCAATTAGGACTTTTGAAGGTTGTAACGTGGTCG